TATCGAAGTGCAAAGTATGTAAGATCTCACTTTGATACATGTGGTGACAACCGAGCAGCAGTATTTCACAACAGCACATCCGACCTGTAAATTCAGTCTCTCTTTCCTCCTCTGATGCTGGTCCAGATAATGGCTTTTCGGGTTATAGTGCCTCCAAAACAGCACTCAGGGACAGAAATCTAACAAAACTTTAAGGGGACATTAACCTATAAATCCAGAAAAGTTCATACTCAGCTCAAGTTGTATTTTACAGTAGCACTATCTCACTTTCATCCTAGTGACAGTGATTTCCTGTACCTTAAAAAAAAAAGGCAACTAAAGCGAGAAGTTGAATAGCTGTTCCAGAGATTGCCTAAAACATCTCTAAGTGCCAGAGACACACCTCTATTTTTTCCCTATATACCAGGGCAGATGTTCCAGGATCCACATCAAGCTAATTGTGCCTCTTACTCTGCACCATGTCAAACCACACGCTCCATATCTAACGCTCTGCACCCCTCCTTCCTGCTTCACACAGATCTTGTCATCTAGGACAAGCTCTCGTGTAAGCTGTTCCAAAGCAATTTGCTAGCAAATGATGAAGTCCTATAATGCAATACTCTCCCTGCAGAAGCATTTCACCTTGTGTTACCTCGTGTTGATGCCTCTTGCTGATGTGCTGTTTATATAGTTACTGATGTCACTGGAGAAACAGATCCTCATAAATCCTTTTAATTCCTGCACATCCTTTTAAATGTTTCTACGTAGACAGAGCAAACAATATTGTCCTCATCTCCAGGTGACACATCAAGTCATCTGTTTTCCTCAGGCTCCAAATCAACTTAGACTTTCATCTTACAATGTTTTTCCAGTCCAGCATTCAAGGTGCCATCATGATGGCATTACAAGAGCTGCTCAGTAGCAACTATATCCTCAGTATTAAATTCTGTGGCTTTAGTACAGTAATAGCACTTCCTGACATGCTGAACAGACCGAAGGTGAAAGGGGACGGGGACCATACAGCTTCCTCCAGCAAGGAAGGTGTGCAAGAGCTCAGAAAACAACAAGGAACAGGGTAATAAAAGCATCCACATCACCAGCTATTATTTTGATGCAGATATTTCTGCTATGTACTTCTTCAGGAATCCTAACTCATTTACTTCATAAGATCCATTTATTACGATATCAAGAAGAAAATCTCCCTGTTTCCTGAAGATACATAGGAAAAATACCTTCATACATTAGGTCAGTGTAAGACTTCAAGGCCTCTAGAGCAGAGATGGGGAGGGGGAAGAGTTCTCTGGAACAGTATCATCACTACCTTTTTCATCTTTCATTATGCTGGTCGGATATTTAAAGTTGCTGACAGCATTGGTCGTTTGCCATCATATAGCTCCTTCTTCCAGCCAGACAAGTCATTCTCTCAACCAAGTATCAAAAGCAGGGCTCATACAAAAGCCACTAAAATTACTCGACAATGTTTGGAGTAGGCACTTGGTAAAAGCCTGGACAGCTGTTCCAAAAGCACCTCAGCCACTGAAGGGCAGCGCAAGGCACTGACAGCCTCTGACTGACAGCTCTTCAGTACGTTCTTCTATACAGAAAACCCTACACGGAGACCAATTGCCTAACCCAAACAACAGATGTAGTTCTAAAGTCTGGTTTGCACAGCAGAGTATCAAAGTATTCAAATTCGCTTACAGTCTGACAATCAAAAAAGTAGAACTGCAAAAAGCATGCTACAAAACAAGACCACCAGTTTCAGAGCACGCCCAATTAGGAGCCATGTGTTCAGCATATTGCATGTGCATACGAACCGTATGGGAAATAAACCCCTTCAAACCCTGCTGTACTTTGGCAAAAGCTAGCAGGATAGGAGGGAATCAATCTGCACCAGGAATAGAAGGAAATTCAGCATTAAATCTAACTGAAGCTAAGAGGAGAAAAAAAAAAAAATCTCAGTCTTGCTGCAACTATCTCCCACTATCATTACCTTATGCTAAGGAATCCTACAAGCAAATCTGAGTACATACTGTACAATAAAAATTAATTTATCAGGGCAAATCATTTTGACAAATGCAAGTTGAGAACTCCAAGAAAAACGGAAGAAAGCAACCACCACAGATTAGATTTGGAAGGAAATGGCAGGGAGGTTGTGGAAACTGAGAGGACAGATGGGGAAGTGGGCCAACAGCTTTTAGGAAAGGTCCGTGTCATTTCCAACAAAGTAGAGGAGGTTAATTGCATAGTGTTGTCTGAGCTCTAATCAAAAGACTTTAATACATGGCTTTAAACTATGCATACACATATCTGTGCAAGTTAATAGGAACAGTATTTATAGAGTAACAATTCAGTGCAACCTTCCATTTGAAAAAATCCCATTACCTTGATTATCTATTTACAGTTTATTTGCTATTACTCAAGTATAGCTGCTGAGCTCAGCATATGAAAAAATACCATGAAGTGTTGGATTAAGTACTACACAGGAGTGGGGTAAACACTGAGTATTTAACCAAGGACTTCAGACTGAGGAAATGCTGACCTTTAACATTCATCTTTATCAGATAAGAGCATTTAAGAGAATCTGGATTAAGAACTACACAGGAGTGGGGTAAACAGAATGAGTATTTAACCAAGGACCTTCAGACTGAGGAAATGCTGACCTTTAACATTCATCTTTATCAGATAAGAGCATTTAAGAGAATCAAACGGATGGATTTCCTTTCCTTAAAGCCTAGAAGATGTAAGCTGAAGACAGCTATTCGTTCTGCACACACCTTTAATTTTCATCCTTCTAATCCTTGCTGTGCAAGTCCTGTTAATTTAAACTCTTAATCCCTCTTAAATTTATGTAATTTGTACCATTAGTTACAAATATACCTCCCTATACATAACCAAGCTGCAAGACAGAAGCTAAAGTTTTCTTCTGCAGGAGATTATAAAACTGCTTTAGAACATATTACATACTGGAATGTGTATTCAAGATCTTACTCCTGTTAAGAAATGGTTTTAACTACAATTTAAAAATCAGTATAGTCAATTAAGGTTTCAGCCAGGCTCATGTCCCTCAATGAGCCTGCTGGTAACGGGTGTTCTCAGTGCTCTCTGCAGTTTCCAAGACAAAAGACAGATGCCAGTTTAAAAAAAAAAAAAAAAAAAAAAAAACAACACAAAACACCACCACAAAAACCACCACACAAAGAGCAAACTGAACATCCAAGTTTCAATGCCAGGGTACTTTTTTATGCTAATTACTACCAGTAAAATATAAAGCAAGCAGGTTTTAAAACTACAAAACAGGTAAAGCAAAGGTGCAAACTCTGTGTAACTACAGTACCCATTCCTGC